AATTTTCTTTATTTCTTCTATATTTGTTGTGAATTCACCTTTTAAATATTTGATACTGGTAATTTGATTTTCCTCTTACTTTGAAAAATTAATTTAGCTAATAATTTGTTTTATTTCCAAAAACTAATTCCTAGTTTTATTAATTAAATGTGATTTTAATTTTCTTTAAATTTTGTTAATATGTACTTTGATTTTCAGGATTTCTATCTTGGTGTTTAATTTTTTTTTCAATTTTGTCTTCTAGGGTCTTTTGTTTTTAGTTACACACCAAATTTGTTGATTTGTTCTTACTTTTTTTGTTGTTGATGAAATGTTTAGAGATATAAATTTGCCTCTTAGGACTACTTTGGCAGCATCCCAAAATTTTGGCATATTGTCTCATTGTTACTGTTATCTTTAATGAAATTATTTATTGTTTCTATAACCTAGTCTTTGACCCATCAATTCTTTAGGATTATATTATTTAGTCTCTAATAAATTTTTAGTCATTCTCAGTGGCCCTTTATTGAATATTTTTATTGTATAATGGCCAGTAAAAGATGCACATAATTTTTCTGCCTTTCTAGATTTGTTTGTGAGGTTTTTAAGCCACAATACATGGTCAATTTTTGTAAAGTTATCACAGAGTTGAGAAATATGTATACTCCTTTCAATTCCCATCCAATAATCATGAGGCAGCTATCATATCTAACTTTCCTAAAATTCTATTCATGTCTCTAACTTCTGTAACTTTTAGACAGATTTGTCTAGGTCTGAAAAGATCTCCCACTATTATAGCTTTATTGCCTATTTCTCTCTACAACTCATTTAACTTTGAGGCAGTTAGAGGCTACTCTATTTGGTGCATATATGTTGTTTTGTCATTAATTCATTTTCTACAATACCATTAAGCGCAGTTCAGTTTCTCTGTTTATCTCTTTTAATAAGTCTATTTTTGCTCATACCCTGCCTGAGATAATGTTTGCTACCTCTTTATCTTTTACTTCAGCTGAAGCACAATAGATTTTGCCCCAGTACCTTATTTTAAGTCTAAGTCTTTATGTTTCATGTTTCTTGTAAACAACATATTATTGGATTCTACTTTCTCATCCATTCAACTATTCTCTTCCACATTATGAATGAGTTCATCCTGTTCACATGTATAATAGTTGTGTATTTTCCTCCATCTTATTCTATACTTTTTGGTCTTTGTTTCTTACTCTCTCATTATAAAGAGGATAGTGAAGAGTATGCTCTATGCTTCATCCATTCTGATTCTACTCCCCTGTTCTTTTTCTTTCCCTCACCAGAGCCCAAGCACAGGTTATTTTTTCTCTACCTTTAAACTGTTCTTTGAGATACAACCTCCCTGTTAATGTGTTTTGCTTATGACTAATCACTTCATGAATCTACCCTCCTTATTACCCCTTTTCTCTTTCCCTTCTGTCTCCCTGTTGAGTTAAATGTATTTTGGCGCTCAACTCTGTGTGTGTGTGTGTGTGTGTGTGTGTGTGTGTAAGTTCTTCCCTTCTTTGACAAGTTCAGATGAAAATGAGGTTCACGTGGTTGCACATTCCCTCTGCCCCTTCTCCTTGTTTGTATAATGTTTTACTTGTACTCCCTGATTGTGTAAGGTAATTTTCCCTACTCTCCCACACCCATTTTCCTCCTAATGTATTCTTTTTCTCCCCCCTTTCTTTTCTTTTAAGCCAATCAAACATAGCAAAACCAATCCTGGACCAATCTGTTTTATTTAATTCCCTCTATGACCTCTGACGATATTAGGGTTTTGAAGAGATACTTGTATAATTTTCCTCTATTAGAAGACAAATGCTTCATCCTTATTTAGTCCCTTCTAATTTCTTATTTGTATTTACCTTTTTCTGTTTCTCTTAATTTTGTGTTTGTATTTCAAAGTTTCCATTTAGTGCTAGTATATTTAGTTCTGGTCTCCTCAGCAGGAATGTTTGGAACTCCTCTATTTAAATATCTATTACCCACACACGCATTCTGACCCCTATCCTGAACAAGTGATTATACTCAATTTTCCCAAGTAAGTTTTCTTGATATTACAAGATTTCTGATTCATTAAGGTGGTGGCTGCTTAATCTTGTGTGATTCTGACTGTGGTTTCTCATTACATGAATTCTTCCTTTCTGACTGCTTGCCTCAGGCCTGCAACCTCTCTACCCGATCCACAATCCTACATATAGGTCTCTTCCTCAGTCTACACTGGAGGTACAACCCATCTCTGGGGCAAGAACAACAGAGCTGTCAGTTAATATGTGTTTCTACTCTCTGCACTGCACCAAGCCCCTCCCTAATGGATCTGGGGCTTCTTCTTGCTTTAGTGCACAGTGCCAGGCTCCAATTCAGTTCCTGTGCTGGAATGTCCAGTACAGCACCTTCCTGGCTAGACCCAGTCCCCAGTGTCCACTAACCTGAGTCTATCTTTTCTAGCCCATGTCCTATACCGACAGACTGAAAAAATGACTTTTTTTTAAAAAATTCCCAATCAGAACTCAGTCTGGTGCCTTTTCTAGATTATTTTGCTGACGTAGTTGTTGGGGAGAGCTGGGCAGGAGTTTCATCACTGCCTCCATGATGCTTACTTAGATTCTGTCTTCTTCTTTTCCAGTGTTTGTCTGGGTTCCTGATTATTATTGCCTAATCTTCTGAATTCTAGGCTCTGCTTACCTGTCTGAACCTATATTACCTGTCTTCTCTTTCTTTAAATCTCTGGACTAAATTTGGAAATAACTGATTAACTAGCTCTACTCCTGTCTAATCAAAATCCTGGCCCTAGTTTGCTTTTCTGCTCCAGAGGTTCCAATTGTTCATTTGTAACCAATTTTGCTGGTTTGTGAGTAACACTGCAGAATCATAAAAAGACTCTACGGTCATTTTACAAAATTCAGACCACTCCTCGTATGCTATAATGATGAAGAATTAAGAAGCCCTTTCCAGTTCGATCATTATTCTTAATGTTTTAATTTCATTCTCTAATAGAATATTTTTGTGAACTTTATAAACATTAATATATAAACCACTGCTTCAAAAACATTCCAACACTTCATCAGTTAATTGGACATGGTTTCATATTTATACACATTTTTACAGAGTTCATGCTAAAGCTAATTTGTAGCTGTCAGATTTAGGTTTCAACAGTGTATGCAAAAACAGTATGAAATGGATGTTAATGCTGGTTTTATTCATGAATCAATTTGAGGTCTAACTTGAAGAAGGTGAAGAAAGATGCACAGTATGTTAGTTGGAAGGAAGTTTTTGAGTAAAAGTAACATAAAAAGATACACTGGAGTTGGAAATTAATGATATCCCAAAGAACCCAGTGTAAAAATCAGTCTTCCTAGTATGAAGAAGAAGCCTCTTTGTGATTGTCATGGCAGGTAGAGCTTGACAGAAGATGAGATAACCACAAGTTTCTCATTCATAAATATCCAAGTCTTTCTACTGAAGGGGCATGATACATAGGCATGAACAACGATAATCGGCAGGAAAGTCAGGGAGAGATGTGCACAGAGTAGACAACTACTGAACAAGCTCTGAGGAGGGGAGATGGGCTGATGGACATTTTTAACATCACCTTTTGTGTTCCTATTCATCTTTTAAAACCCAGCTCCAGTATCATTTTTTCCAGGAAACGTGCTGATTTCCCCTAGAGCTGATAACTAAGATTCTCTTAGGAAATCAGATAGCACTTAGCTTTACAACTCTCTAATATACTTTCCATATAATACTGAGTATTACTGTTGTCTAGATTTTTGTCTTCTCCTTGTAAATCATAAGCTTCTTGAGGGCTGGCACCATATTATTTAAACTGCATTTCCTCCAAAGCCTATCATTGTTTCCTGCTCCAGCTTGTGAATTGTTGCTGAATTAAAATGCAAACTTTGCAAATGGCAAGAAATTCCTACTCTCTGTAGCAAGTAACAGCACTGGACTGAGTTGGGAGATTTGGCTCTAGTCCAGGCTCTTGAGCTATTGAGCTCTGTCTGGGCAAGGCATTTTCCTTTTCTGGATCTCAGCCTCTTCATCTGAATACAGGGAGATGACTACCTGGTCTCCAAGGTTCTCTCAGCTCCAACACCATGCAGTATTAGGCAGGTGTCAGTGGGCAGGCTCAGAGTTTCTGGGAGACAGTTAACACGCAAGGGACACAATTTGCAGTCTCTATCTCAGGCACACAGGTGATGCTTTGTTTCAGCTCTAATGAGGAGCTTCTGGTCTTTATGTTTAAAATGACTTGGTAGGGGCAGCTAGGTGGCACAGTGGATAGAGCACCAGGCCTGGAGTCAGGAGGACCTGAGTTCAAATCTGCCCTCAGACATATAACACTTACTAGCTGTGTGACTCTGGGCAAGTCACTTAACCCCATAGCCGAGCTTAAAAACAATAAATAAAATGACTTGGTATTTAACTGCTCTTGGCCCTCAATTTCCTTAGCAATAAAATTAGAGATTTGGACAAACTATTCTTTTTTTTTACTATCTTTTTTTTTTTGGCTAGGCAGCGGGGTTAAGTGACTCGCCCAGGGTCACACAGCTAGTAAGTATTATGTGTCTGAGGCTGGATTTGAACTCTGGTCCTCCTGAATCCAGGGCCGGTGTTCTATCTACTGCGCCACCTAGCTGCCACTGGACTAACTATTCTTTAAGGGTATTTCTAGCTCTAAATTCTAAATTTTTATTTCATTAGTTGATCTGCTCATAATGCAAACAGAAAAGGTTCTAGAGATTCAAGAGCTAATACAATGTTTCACTGTGTTTACATTTTGTTGACATTTTCCTCAACTTAAAGCAATTTCACAGGTTGACATTCATTTTTAGTTTTCATGACTATCCAGGCCAGCAGTTAAAACTCAATAAAAAATTTCATGTTGTTTATATATTTCTTAAAACAATATATCTCTAGTGTTTGCCCAGATAATTTTTTCTTTTTTTTTAACAAGGATTTATGTCTAAGTTCAATAAAAACTGTGAATTGAGAAAAATAAGATTCTAGTTTTTTTCAGCTTTACAAATTTATTTAGAGATATCAAAACCGGAACTTGAAGATATAATGATAATATTTGACTTTTTGTTCTCCAACTTATATTGTTACAAATTAGCACCCAACACCTCCACTTCAAATTGGAAAAAAAAAGAAACGGAAATTTCCTGCTAATATATAGTTCTTGGTCAGTGTTAGTTTACATACTCTGTATTTTCCATTTGAGAAATGAATGTGCAAATACAAGTATAACCAACATTTCTTTGACCAAATATTACTGTTAATTAAATACTCTTGCATACTAAAAAGGAAGACAATATAGGTGACATCCACATTCAATGCCACTGGTTCTTAAACACCTATTGCCAGCAACAGATGTTTCAACAAAGAAAAAAGAGCTTCTTTGAAAAGGTAAAATATAAATTTTCTTTTACATCACACCATATAAAGATTTGTAGTTCTCTTTTGTGCAAAGAATAGAAAGTTGTAGGTCTTTCTATAATCAAGCAATCTCTGGAAATGATCCTTTTACTTATTCTCCACAGGTGATCAGCGGCACAAAAGAGCCTTTGGCCTACATCAGGGAGACATAAGCCAGTTTCCATGCTGGATCTGCTAAAGCCATCCTAAAAACAGCAAGTCTCATTTTCGGGTAACAAATCGCACATTGATGGACTCTCCAGGTGTCAGAAGCCCGTGGGTTTTTGCGTGAACTGTTTTAGTTAGAGGAGAAGATTTGATCTCAAAATGTTGAAGCAACTAAAAAGAGAAAGAGAGATAATGAGCATTCTAACCCTCTAAAGTAAAAAAATGCACAGTTTCCTATTGGATTAATACTGATACCATTGTTGTCAATTCCAGGGAGCCAAAGTAATGATGATAATTTTGAAGAAAATTAAGTTTATCTCCAGGAGAAATATTAGATCAGGGAGGGTCTACTCATTTGAAAATAGAGCATTCATTCCTGAACAGTAGCGTTAACAGATCCACTGAATAGTCAGTAAGTCAAACATTTATTAAGTGCCTACTCTGCCAGGCCCTGTGCTAACATTGGCCCTAAAAAGCAGTTGTGGTGAAGCAAAAAGGACCTGGAGGACCTGATTTTGAAGCTTGGCTCTCCTTCCTTACCTGTGTGGCCTTGGGCAACTGACTTGACCTCTCTGGGCCTCAGTTTCCTCATATAAAATGCAGAGGGAGGGAGGTGTCTAAATACTTCTAAGGTTTTTTCCAACTCTAAATCTCTGTTCCTATGATCTTATGACCAAGGATAGTTCAGGTTACAACTAAAAAGCAAAAATTTGTAAAGGCTTAAATTTTAGGATTCATTACGAAAGCTCTAGCTTTGTCTCCTCCACTCTGAGTTTTAGATCAGTATCTAACACCCCCCCACACTTCAAATTGGAAATAAGAAATGGAAACTTCCTGTTAATATATGCTTACTTTAGAGAACGTATATTGTGTTCTCCATTTGAGAGATGAACTTACAAACATGACCAATGTTTCCTTGCCCAAAGAACAAAAAATACTATTGTTAATTTAAAATTCTTGCATACTCAAATGGAAGACAACGTATGTGACATCCAAATTCAAGGCCTGTTGTTGTTACACACCTATACCCAGCAACAGATATTTCAACAAAGAGAGCTTCAGAATGAAAAGATAAAATAAAATTTTCTTTTATATTACACTAGATGACAACAAAGGGGTTTATTTTTTAGTACAAGATGGTTTTGGTGGGTTTTTTAGCCTGGAATCTGTGAACATGTGTTTCAAATATTTTGATGACTACATTTCAACATAACTGGTTTCATTTGTAGTCCTATATATTTTATTTTATGTATCTTAAAATATTGCATTATTCTGAGAAGTGGTTTGCAAGCTTTATCAGACTACCAAAGGGGTCCATGACACACACAAAAAGATTAAGAATTCCTGATTTAAAACAGTACTATTCAAATTTTCAAAAAAAATTTTTCTTTTTAACCTAAAAATGCTTTTTTCACATAATTCAATTCAGCGGAGTGAAAGGGATGAAATTACAAAGTCTTGGACTATGAATCTCTTACCTGTATCATTACAAGGTGAATTTCTAGCTCTGCAATTCTCCTTCCTATACAGCTGCGGAGGCCATAACCAAAGGGAATAGAACCAAAGTTGTCTACTCTGTCCATATTTCCTTTCCTCAGCCAGCGCTCGGGTTTGAATTCCTTTGCCACTGGAAAATTTTCTTCTTCATAAGATGTAGCATAATGACATAGAGCCAGTTGAGTCTAAGGAAACCATTTACAATAGAAAAGAACTGTTGCATGTGAAAGCAGAGTAAGTGAAAACATGCTAAACAGTCATTACAAAGATGTCTTACCCAGAAGCAACCACTGAAATCATATCATAATCCTCAAGAAGGCCATGCCAGTGTCCTTTAAAAATTTTTTTAAAGCATCTATTATCTCTTCCTCCTACTGTCTCCCCCAAATTGAACAATGTGAAAAATAAGAAAAGGAAAAACCTCCTAGAATTCCTACACTGTTCATACTCAAAAATGTATGTGTCATTCTGTGCTTTAAGTTTATCACCTTTCTGGTAGCAGGAGGATGGCATGTTTCATCTTTAGTACTCTGAACTCATGGTTTATCATTGCACTGACCAGAGTTCTAAAGTCTTACAGAGTTGTTATTCTAGGATAACAGTTATTGTATAAATTATTCTCCTTATTCTGTTCACTCTGCATCAGTTCATAGAGGTCTTTCCAGTTTTCTTCAAAATGGTACCATTTCATCATATTTATGGTACAGTAGTATTCCATTATATACTATACTATAATATACTATAATAATTCCATAATATACTATAATATAATCCCATCACATACTATAATTTGTTTAGTTATTCCCCAATAGGTAAGCATTCCCTTAGTTTTCAATTTTTGGCTGCTATAAAAACAAACTGTTATAGTTTTGTACACAAGCTTTTACCCTTTAATCTTTTTGGGGTATAAATCTAATAGTAGTATAGCTAGGTCAACTGACAAACACCAGTTAGTAACTTTTGAGGCAGAATTCCAAAGTGCTTTCCAGAATGGCTGAACCAATTTACACCGATATATCAATGTGCCTATTTCCTGATAGCCTCTCCATCATCTGTCATTTTCCATTTCTGTCAACTTTGCCCAAGAGGACCTATACTTAGATTCCTATAATTTCTGACATATCTAGATAGATACACTCAAATATTTTATAGCTGCCACAGTTATTTTGAATGGAATTTCTCTTTCTAGCCCTTCTTATTGGGTTTTGTTGGTAATATACAGAATGTTGATGATTTATGTGGATTTATTTTTTTATCCTGCAACTTTGCTGAATTTATTGCTTCAATTATTTTTTTGGATAACTCTTTAAGGTTTTCTCAATAAATCATCATATCATTTGTAAAAATAAATAATTTTGTTTCTTCTCTATGTTTATTCTCCCAATTTCTTTTTCATCTTATTACTATGGTTTGCATTCCTAGGACCACCTTAAATAATAGTGGTGATAATGGGCATCCTTGCTTTACCTCTGACCTTTTTTGCAAAGGCCTGTAACTTCTCTCTATTATATATAATGTTCACTCTTCTTTTTAGATAAATACTACTGACTATTTCATCGAAAAGCCTTTTTGTTTTTATACTTTCTAGAGTTTTAAACAGAAACAGGTATTGGATTTTGTCGAAAGCCTTTTTCTGCATCTATAAATAAATTTTCTTGATAAAATTTTCCATTTTTTCTATAATTTGCTTTTTCACTGGCCAATTCATTGGAATTATGTTATACTATCTCCAATTACTTTTCAATTTTTACTTCAAGGGCACTGAAACTACTAAATAATGTATTTACTATTTCTACTTTCCCATATTTTTGGTGATGTTTTTATGCCCCATTACGTGGTCAATTTTTATAAAAGTGCTGTGTACAAACAGCTGGTAATTCTGTATCAGCCTACATGAGATAATGAAGCAGAGGGCAACATTCAATTAATATTTCAAGGGGAAATAAATTTATCACGTTGTACCTATCAGCCACAAAATGTGCTGTACACAGATCTAGCAGTAGGTAAATCCTTTTCTATTCCCATTTAGTAACTGCCAGAGGCCTCTAATTTTTCTAAAGTTCTAATCATATCCTTATTTTTTTTCTTGTTTATTTTTTGGTTAGGTAGCTCCAAGAGGGTACTCCCTACTAGTATAGTTTTACTATCTATTTCTCCAATTCACTTTTCCTGTAAGTATTTAGGTGCTATGATACTTGGTGCATATAATGGGGCATAAAAACATCACCAAAAATATGGGAAAGCATAAATTGAGGAAGACCTTGAAGAGTTATCCCCAAAAAAGTAAAGCAATAAACTCAGCAAAGTTGCAGTATAAAAAATAAAACCATATAAATCATCAACGTCCTGTATGTTACTAACAAAATCCGATAAGAAGAACTAGAAAGAGAAATTCCATTCAAAATAACTGTAACCAAGTAAGAATATAAAAGGCCTCTAAAATTATATTAGGAAGACAAAAAATCCCCAAGTGAGTTAAAACTTGCAAAAAAATACTAGAAACAAAGAACTGTGGCTTTTAAAGTTATGTTGAAAATAGAAAAAAGGAAGAAATAATGACTAGGAGCACTGCTAGAGGTGGACGGGTGGACAAGTGGACGGATGGACAGATGGATGGATGGATGGATGGATGGATGTTAACGGATGACAGAGAAAGCAGAATTAATTTCTTTTTTATTTCCATTTTTTATACCATGAAGAATGTTATTCAGGTTGGAAATAAAGAAAGAAACAAGGTTAAAAGAGAAATGGAAGGAAACAAACACAAAGCACCTGCCACATTCCAAGCATTATGTTAAGCACTACAAAAATGATCTCACTTGAGTCTCACAACAAAGGTAAGCGCTATTATAATTCCTGTTTCACAGCTGAGGACATTGAAGTAAAGTGAGGCCTTCATTTGTACGAACTGATGTAGGCTGAAATAAGCAGAACCAAAAGAACAATATATGCAACAGTACCAAAATGTAAATAAAAAGGTACTTCAAAGTAAGAGAGACTTGTGATAACCGACAAATCAGTGAAGATGCTGGAGAACTGATTATGAAGCCTGCCTTGATCCTCATGGCAGAAAAGTGGGGGGCTACTCAGGCAGAGTATTATATACAATTGGATTCAGTCATTGCAACACATGTTTTTGCTTGTTTCATTTTGTCACAAAGGAGGAATCAATCTGAAGGGAGAATCTCTTCCCTGTGTATACCTTTCCCACAAATAACTGATATGAAGATAGGAGACATCAATGAAACATTTCTTTGTAAATCCATCAATGTAGATTTTTCCCTTATCCATTCAAGTTGTAGCTCCATTACGTCTTGGTAGGTGGTTTCATGAGTGACTGAAAATTATTCATCACCTTCTGTCTAATCCAGTAGTGAGACTCTCCTAACTCAGCTAATCTAGTCCTCCCATAACAAATGCCAGGTCTCTCACTGGGCCCATACTACAGAGCTTTCCAGCTTGGTATAACCAGTTCTCCCAGAAACAGCCTATGAGAACTTAGGGTTGAATCTATGTGACGATGAGTAATCTAGGTAGTAGGACTAGTGAAAAAAGAGCAAGAAAGCATGTAGAATATGTATAAGACCAAAAGTCATTCCCCAATAGATAAGTGGCCAAAGGATATGAACAAACAGTTCTCAAAAGAAGACTTGCAGACTATTAACAACCATATAAAAAAATACTCCAAATTACTAATAATAAAATACATGTAAATCTAAACAACCCCCATGTTTGACCTTACATCCTGCAAATTGGCAAGGATAACAAAAGATGAGAATAGTCACTTTTAGAGGGGTCGTGGAAAACCAGGTGGAACTCTGAATCAGTACAACCATTTTGGAAAACAATTCGGAATCATGCAAATAAAGTGACTAAAATGTTCACACCCTTTGACCCAGAGATTCCACTGCAAGGCTTACTCCAAAGGAGGCCACTGATAAGAAGAAAGTTCCAATATACACCAAACTATTTATGACAACATGTCTTGCGATAGCAAGGAACTGGTAACAAGTAGATGTCCATCCACTGGGGAGTAAGTAAACAAACTGTGGAACATGAATGTAATGGAATACTACTGAGCTGTAAGAAATGATGAATGTGATAAATTCAGAGTTACATGGAAAGATCTACATGAAGTGATGCAGAGTGAAGTACGGCCAAAAAATAATATATACAATGACTAAAACAATGTTAATGAACAGAACCACCACCAAAAAAAAGTCAGTGTTTTAGCATTATAAAAGAACAAGCATGGCTCAAAGAAGAGATATGAGAAGACAGTCCCACCCCATCACATTGCAGTGGTAGGAGATCCACAAGTGTTATACATTACACATATTTTCAGACTTTGTTTTGATGTACTGATCAGTTATGCTGATTTACTTCTCTTTTTCCTTTTTTGGTCTTAAAATGCTATATAATATATGAGATGGCTCTTTTTGGAGGGGGAGCATAAGGATACTAAAAGAAATAAGAGCAATGTAAAAAAAAGACATCAATAAAGTTTTTTTTTAATGGAGAAAAAAGAAAGCATTCAAAAACTCTAAGAATGTTTCTAATGCCACTTTATTTTTGAACAGCCATCTTTGTTCATTTATGGTTAAGATCAGATTTGCAAGGTCAGTTACCCTGGGCTGTATCCTGAGTGCCACTGCTCTTCAGAACACTTTTCTTTCCCTTCTGTGTTTTCTGTTTTCTAGTGGCTGCAGAATAATTTTATGTTATTCAAGTTTCCTTTCCTTTGAAGGTCCTTCTCCAGATTGCTTGCAGAACTGAAGCAAATTGTTTAACTTAACCACTATGTGTTTTGGAGTGTGCATCCTTGGGTTTTTTCTGATGGCAACTTATGAATTCTTTCAATTAGTTTTTCATTCTCTATGTTCAGAAGTTCTCGTATATTATTTCATGCATTTTGGTGTTAAGGTTTTTTGTTCTGTCATATTCTGGGAGATCTATGATCCTTGGGTTGTTCTATGCATCCTGTCTTTAAAATCAGTATGTTTTGCTTGCATAGTGAACATATTTTGTTTTAATGTTATTGTTTTTTGCTTTTTTTTCTTCTAGGTAATCCTTCACTTCTGTGTATTTGCATTTCCAATATTTTGTTCTCTATTTTGTTTCTTTGGTGAGGCTTGCCATTGTGGATTCTAGCTTTTCTATTCTGCTCATTATTTTTACTGTGCTGACTATAAATTCTCCTCTTATAATTTTCAGTTCTCTTTTTAACCACTCAGGAACAGTGTGTTGTGGTTCCATATTCTCAAATTCCAGAGGGTTTTCCATATTATCTCAAATGCTGAATCATTTCCCTTTGCTTTTGCAGCATTTATTCACAGCTGCCTGAACTTATTTACTACATCTGAAAGTCATATTTCTTTCTGCTGTTAATGTTTTCCCCATTGATTTATCCATTTATGTTCAAGGTATTTAAGTTTTCTTCTCCTGAGATCTTTTGGTAAGTTCAATTTCTGCCCCCTTCTTATTTTCCCCTATTACTTACTTTCTGACTCCCTCCCTTCTGATTGTGGTATCCTTGAGAAACAGCTCAGTGTCCCAGCCTCCTCCCGTAGAGGGCTATACACCATACAGCAGCTTAGGACTTTTGGGTGAACAGAACTGGCCCTAGCTGGATGCTGAGTGCTTCCCTCTGGCTTAGTAGAGTGCTACACAACCCCACATACACTGTGTCTTGCCCAAGTGGCCTGTCCCGTTCCTTTCATTCCTCAGTTCTCTAACCTTAAACCAGCAGTGCAGAATGCTGGTGCTCTGGGGTTAATTTTTGTAGTTTGGTTCTCTGAGGCTCTGAGACACGGAGGCAGTGGGATGTGGTGCTGAGCTCTCTTTCCAGCCCAGCCATTGTCTGGCCACATAGATGTGGTCTAACTATCTGTCCTGGTCTAAGCAGACTTCTGCAGTGTGAAACCAGGATCTCCATGGTACTTCTTTTGGATTCAAGGTGTCCTAAATCATGGATACAGTTGAAATTTATCTATGGTGCATAATTTCTGTTTTGCAGAGGTTTGAGAGGGAATGGTATCAGGAGTACAAGGAAAGGGGTGGACCTCATAATAGATAAAGGGCCACCTTTTCTTCTGACTGGAGGAAGACTGGGGAGACTGCAGAGGAAATTTAAGGTAAAGAATTGGGGAGAAGAAGGGGCTTGTAGCAGATGGCGATTTTTTTCTTGGTAAAGTATGAGTTCTCTGATGAGAGGGAAGAAATAGAATAGATGACTTGAAAAGCCAAGAGGTCTGGAACAGAAGTTGTGGGAAGTGTGAAAAAAGCCATTCAGAGAAGAATATCTGCTGTGTAGTGGAGATGACCCAATTCAGATTAAGTAACATAAATGTGCAGCATGCCCAGTTGGCATGATTATGTGGCTTACTACTGAGATGTTCAGCAATAAGGAAAAGGCAGATGGTGGGAATAACCCAGTGTTGGGATTTGGGAAGAGAGGAGTGGTGACAGGACAATGAGATTTGAATGCACAGTTTAAAGCTGAACTGATTAACTACATATTGTGAAGGAAGAAAAGGAAAACCAAAACATAGGTGACTGGAAAAGCAGGAGGGGTGGAGTGACTAGAAATCATGATGAGGATGAAAAATAGAATTGGGAAAAGTGAGGCAGAAGGAGAGAAGGAAAAATAAGAATTCTGAGAGAAGAATTTCAGAATTCTGAATCATAGAGGTTGAACATTTATGGGAATAACAAATATCAAGAATAAGATGGTATTTCTGAGGTGGAGTGATATCACGGATCATGACTGCAAACTCTACTCAGTAGAGTCAAGTGTTACATGGGCGCCAAAAAGGCTAAATGTTGTCTTGGGCTCTATTAAAAGAAGTCTAGTGTTCAAAACGAGATGTAATAATTCCAACTATACTCTGAACTGCTCACAACCCCTGAAGCAGTTTGTTTGAACCTATGTTCCACATGTTAAACGTGGTATGCTTGAAGGACTATCTGAAGGGTTGATATGTGGAAGAAGAACCAGACTTATGCTGTGTGGGCCTCCAGTGAACAGAAGTAGGACCAAAGACTGGAAATCAAGGGGAAACACGTTTTGGATTAAAATAAGGAAGAGTTTCATAATAATTAGATCTGTCCTTTCTAGCCAACCATGCAACCTGCACTGCAGCTATAATCCTCATATTCCTCTTACCGGGACCTCGAACTCTACCCTTGGGGTGACAAACTCTGACACATGAGCTCTTGCCTCATCACGCCCAGAACCAAGTCTCACCATCCTTCCCCAGCCACCTCTACACTGTGCTGACACCCATACTGATACCTTAGCCCTTTCTACCTCCCCTTCATTGTTGTCTTCCTCTGGCAGAATGTAAACTTCTTGCAGACTGGGGTTGTTTTGTTCCTTGTGTTTGTTTGTATCCTCAGTTCTCAGCACGATGTCTATCACGTGCTAAGTGCTTAATAAATGTTCTATTTATCATCTGCCTATTTAAATAGGTAGTTCTTCACTGAGACTGAAAGTACTCAAGTATAGACTATGATTCACTTCATATCTATTCACTTCACTAAGCATTTATTCATCTATTTGTAAGTTTTTCCTGAGTGATGAACCTGAAGTGACCACTCTTTTAGCAACCGTAGTATAGAAATAGTGTTGGATATGGACTTTAAGGATCTAGGTTCAGATCCTAGCTAGGTTACTGTCTCCTTATGAGACCCTAGGTCACAGAGGTGGGGATCCTGTGGCCTTGAGGCCACATGTGGCCCTCTAGGTCCTCAAGTGCAGCCCTTTGACTGAACAAAGATTTGTTCTGTGAAGTCTGAATTCAGTCAAAGGGCCAGATGTGGCCTGAAGGCCAAAGGTTCCCCACCCTGCCTAGGAAATTCATTTCACTTTTCTGGGACTCAATGTCTTTCTGAACTAGATGATTTCTAGGTTCTAGCTCTCATGTTTTATAAAAATTTTTCATATGTTTACGTATCTTTCAAAGCTCATGAATTCTTTAATTAGGAATGGATCCATTCCTTATCTTTTTTGTATCCCAAGTTCCCCATCCTTCCCAATATCTTATACACAACAGATACTAAATAAAAATTTACCATTGTTTTAAAAAGATTCAAAACTAGAAACAACCAAAAATCCAAGACTAGGTTGAAGGGGAAGGTAAAAAAGGAGGGGTGAATGTTTTGAGCACTGCTTTTAGCTCTTTAACTACTTTTGGATTTTTCTTTTTTCTTTTCTTTTCTTTTTTTTTAAAGTCAATGTTCTGAGAGATATTGGGACTTCCTACAGTGTACCACTGGGGAAAATTATACTCTTGGCTTTAGCAATGACAAGGTTCTTTTTTGACAAAACATTATCATTATATATTTCATCTCACAGTTCATTCAGCTCCCTTTTTGCAACAAAGTATCTGCCCCAAAGGGGATATTATGAAGTTTTACCTAAGTAAATACAGAAAAAAGATTACAATCCCAACCACCTCCCCTAACTGCATGCCAAACTCACTCCTTTTGGAATTAGATATCCTCCAATAATCAAATCTTCTTGAGTTATTCTACCGTTTCCTGGTAAAACTGGAAATAACCTAGAGAGATATAAAATACAGAATAGTTTTAACTACTGCAAAGATAAATGATTTGTATCCCAATTAACTGCAACCTTTAGAACCACAACTCTCTCAAATAAATAGCCCCCAAAATATCTGGAATAAAAAAAATGGGTTAATGAATGCTAGTAGACTGAAGAATCACATTCTTTGCAGAAGTTAAGTGGTATATTGTACAATAGATGGCTACTTCGAATATTACGCAAATTAAGGTAACAAGTCAGGCATGAAAAAACTGCCCTTGATGTATCTTAAGCAACATACTTTTTGCCATGATTTCTCTATCGAATAATCCAGAAGCTTAAACAAAAAGGTTTAAGCACTTAAAAGTGGATGCAAGATTTAAATAAACTGGCTTGCTAAGCTGTTCATTATAATCACCTTGGAAAAGGAATCGAGGCTTTAAAGGTATATTTCTTGACATGACTTTTGAAAGCTTTCTACCTTAGTGTTTCCTTGAGCAGAGCTCTGATCAGTGGTACTCTAGGTATATCCTCTGCGGTTGGAACATGTTTCTTTCCCAAGTTCTTAATGATCTCGTGATATACTGATTGCTGAACTTCAGGATGTTTTGCTAATAGGTATGCAGCCCAGGACAAAGTGAAAGAAGTCTAATAAAAAAATAAACAAAAAGAAAACATAAAAGAATACACAATTAAAGGGGGTTACAAAAACAACTAAAAATTAAATGCTTCAAAAAAAAGGAAATTTCTAGATAAGGCATTCCATTTTCTACATATGTAGGTATAAAGCAATTGAGCTATGCTAAGCATCTAAGTCAAATGGAGTTAGACTACATCATATTCTACTTCCCCACAATACTCTCTACTTTGCCAAAACAAATATCCTTCATTCTAAATCTATCACAGAAAAAAACACAACCTAAATAGTCTTAAAGACAAAATCAACTACACATTACAAATGCTATTTTTAATAAAAAGCAGCAGAAATATCTGAATAATTTTTTTTATCTCAGTAAATACAGAATGTTTACACTGCTCCCTAGATTCAGGATGGAACTACTCCACAAGGCTACTCTTGGCATTGGTCTGACACTGCACAAAACTTGTATTTTTAAGGAGACAGAGAGTGAACGATAGTAGTCTGGGAAATTCTTGCCAGATAACCTGGCATCTTATTAGTTTAGTTACCTGTTTCTTGAAGGATTCTCAAATTTCCCTGAATCTGAGTCCTCTCAAGAACGAATCTGGCTTCTTGTAGATCTCCTAGATGCAGAATGGCCAGTCAAAGGAAACACTCCTGTCTTTAATGATCATTCACCTACCCTAGTCTAGACTTGGACCTCCGAATTTGGATTAAAACCATATTGGTCCTCTGGAGATGGGTTTCAAAGTATTATTTGCTGAATCATTTGTTCCAATATGTTTATCAAATAAAATCAACAAATATTTATTGACTGTCTATTACATATAAGAATACCATTTTCTTTCTTTATAGCCATAATGTCATTCTTTGAGAGGAAGAATAGTGGCATGATTCTCAAACGCAGTGCAATATTTCTAGCTACTTGCATTTAATTTGTCTGATCCCTTTCAGACCTCAAAGTTGATACTAATATTGGTTTTTATCACTTCTATGATTCTGTGTCATTTTCTTATGAGTGACGATATTCCACAATAAAAATGCTTTCCCAACATCTAAAATTTGACTTTTATAGCCCAGATCATACTGTTTCGGTGAAACAGGATCTGTTTTAAGTACTTCAGGGTTTTTAGAGGACGTTTACAATAAGGGCTCAGTCCTAGCATAGCTAAATTCTGAGCTTCATTATCAGATTGGCTCCAGGGGAAGCAATTTATCATCTCAAAGGAAGTCACTGAGAGGCTGAGACCTGCATCAGCACAGGGAGTGTGCATCTTAATAAAAAGAAACAAACAAATAAGCCCACAGATCTCTCAAACATAGGAAATTTTTAAAGCTCAATAAACATCCATGAAAAAGACATGAGAAATTTCAATATAAAAATGGCAATATGAAAGTGAATTGGAGGGATGTCAGTTTGTCAACTGATAAACCCAAATTGGGGTGCTAGCTTGGTGACTCAGTTTTCCCCCTCTTCTCCATTCTACTCCCTGTAATATTTGTAGCTGCCACTAGGTGGCAGGAGGAAAGTACATCTGAGACAGTAGTCACTGGCAATCATGATAAAAGATCCTTTACAGTGTTAGAAAAATAGCTGTTTAAGATGTTCTGTAAACTGAATATTACCTAAAATAAATCTTTAAATAAATGACAGCATATAGACCTAAAAAACAAATATGTAATTAAAGTGAAATCCTCTTCTTCCGGCACCCTCTCATAGAAGGTAAGCTCTTTCGAGGCAAAAACAGTTTTTTCATTTTGTCTTTGCTTTCCTATAGCCTAACATAGTTAATTTATTCACAGTAGGTGCTTAATAAATTCTGGACTTCTTTTAGCTCCCTTGGCTTACTTTCAGTACAACACAACAGACTTTAGTAAAATGATCTTTGTTTTATAACACCGGAAGCATTGTTTCCCCATTTCCATTCCAGAAAACCTGTTTCTCTCTATTTAGGAGCCTTGAGCAATATCCTACTGTATCTAAGAACTTCTATAGTTTCCTGCCAGAAATTTTTCCCAACTTATTCCCAATCCAAGAGTTTCCTGTTCTATCTATCTCCTACCCCAAGTATGGCAGGCTTTGCCTCTTACCTTTTAGATTTTTTTTGTTTGTTTGTTTGGCTAGGCAGTGGGGTTTAAGTGACTTGCCCAGGGTCACACAGCTAGTAAGTGTTATGTGTCTGAGGCCAGATTTGAACTCAGGTCCTCCTGAATCCAGGGCCGGCTCTCTATCCACTTCGCCACCTAGCTGCCCCTTGTCTTTTAGATTTTAAGAAACAAAAACAAACATATGCTAGCCATTTAAAATTTCATATAGATAATAGATATATACATTATCTATATAAATATATACATGTATACACATATAAAACCAAAATACAATAATAACAAAAGAGATTATTTCATTATGTAAATAAAACGTATCTTTCCTGCCAGATTCATGAAAATCAATTAACCAAAGTATTCTTTTTCTATTTTCTGCCCAAGACTGAGGCTGTCACATTGCTTCCAAATTACCCTGTTCTATATGATGTTTTCTTAATTAGTATTATTGCAAAAAGAACACTTCCACAGAGGCATGGAATATTACTTGCAAAATATCTGGAATTTCTGCAAATGACACACCTCATTTTCCTAATGCTGAAATAGCTTTAAGCAACTCATCATGACCAGAGCTCATTCCTTAGTCTTCTCCATAGGAGAGAAGAAAATGTGATTATATAATAAAGTGGTTTTTTTATGTTGAAATTATACCCTCTTAAGTTCTCAGCATCTTCATCTTCTCTACACTCCCAGCATTATACTACATAAGCCAAAAGCTTAGAAACCAATAAAAAGGGGCCTTACAAAATGCTATACAAAATTTTTAACAATCGCTTTGTGTACCTTCACTTTATAATTTGTAAGAAAAGGATAGTTTTCTTTTGGAGATCCTTACCAGTTCGAAAAGCTGGTTAAATGAATGCAAAAATTCAGTCACCATTAAATTATGCAACATGCTTAAAGTTTAATAAATACAATAATTAATTTAAAATTCAAAATTGGAGTTCCATAGGGCTGTGAAGGCTTATCAGGTTAAAATTGGCTTTGTCTCTTAAGAAAACAAAACAAAATTGGAAAACTTACTGTGTCAACTCCAGCCAGGAGCATTTCAGTCATGTTGGCATAGATCTCTTCTAATGTTAGCTCTTTGCTAATTAAGAGGTGTGTAAGTAGTCCTCCTTTTATGCTTTCTCCTCTATCCAGTTGGGACTGAATATCCTTCAACTTATTGTCAACATGAATCTGACCTGTTTAAAGATAAACTTATTTTTTAAAAAGGCTTAGTTGAATTCACTCTATAGTTTAGATGTCATCCTACCTTAGTTCTGACAATCCCAGAAACAACTCCATTCAGAGGTTATTAGTCTGAGAATAACACAGTTTTGGACCCTGGAACAGAACCTACATTCAAACAATCACTTTCACATGTAAAAAACGAACATGTGGGCACAGGCATTCCACTTGTATTTTAATTATTTATCTAAATAGGCATGAGCTATATTCAGAATAAAGCAGTTTCACAAATATAGCTAAAAGGCAATGGCTTTACCTCACATGGAAAACATGAAAAACCCACTCTTGCTTGTCAGGAATATTTACTATATAGGATATGTAAGTGGACAGGCAATGTGGTATAGTGCAGTGGTTCCTAACCTGGGATCTGTGAACTTCTATTTATAATATTGATAACTATATTTCAATATAAGTGGATTCTTTTGCAATGCTATGTATTTTATTTTATGCACTTAAAATACTATTCTGAGAAGGATTGGTCATATTGCCAAAGGGGTCCATGACAAAAAAATTAAGAACCTTCACTAGAGTGGACAGTGCACTGGCCTTGGAGTTAGAAAGACCTGGACTCAAGTCTTGCTCTGACACAGAAAGGCTGGTGTTTCCTTGAAAGTCATTTAACCTCTCATTGCTTGGGCCAATCCTCTGAACTACAAGTTACATAGCAGGTGCTGGATTGTATTGGCAGAGAAAGTTCTGCAATGGGAGCTCCCTATGGTGAAGAAATAATATATGGCATTAAAAAAAAAAGTGTACCCAGGATGAAGCTGTATATATGCTTTTATAAAGTGACAGAAGTGTAATAACCTCTTCTGGTATACAAAACCAACATTATCTTTTTAAAATATCCACCTATACAATTACAGTGATTGTACCTGGCTAAAGCAGGAACAATTATCCTAGAACACAGGGGTTTTTTCAGAGTTTGAGAAAGTCACTAATGGATTCCATTCTATTCTCTTATAAAGTCTTTCAAAAACAGAACCAGAAAATATGTCTCCCCTTCTCCTTGCCCTGCCACATTACCCCTCTCCATAGCACAGCCTAGTCCACAGAAAGCCAGTACTTCTGGGGCAGCTTCCCCATGGCCCTAACATTCTCACTAATAGCGAAGCTTGGCTAGTTGGGCTTGGAATAGGCCAAAACCTCAGAAAATCCATCACCCATATTTTCTCCTATGAAAAATTCTGATATCAACAAAAGGTACCTTCATTTCCTTAATTCAATCCTCATTCCTATCTAGCTATAGTCTCTCCTGACTCCACTCCTTTATCACCTTAGCTACCTAATTAGATACGTTGAAGTAGATATCTCATAGGCATTTCAAGCTCAACATGTTGAAAACAGAACTCCTCTTTACTTTAAAACCCTCCCCTCTTTCCAACTTCTCTATTACTATCAAGAGCACCCCCCCATCCTTCCAAAATTCTAGGCTCATTACCTTGATATCATCTGCGTTTCCTCACTTTCAATCACTCCATATAAAAAATATCTTGGCAAATCTTACAGTTTCTACCTCTATAACATGTCTCACATCAGTCCCTCTCTCTCTACTTATACACTCCATATACTTCCTATCCTACTTTCAGCCTTCATTACTGCTTTCCTGAACTATCAAAACAGCCTTCTAATTTGCCTCAAGCTTCATCCACTCCAGTCCAACTACCAACTGGCTGACAAAGTGATTAAGTGCTGGTCTGACCATTTTACTCTCCTGTTTGATAAATTCCACTGGTTCCCTATTACCTCTAAGAGCTATCATATACTCCTCTAGCTCTTAAAATCCTTCACAATCTACCTATCCAACCTTATTATACATTACTCCAGGTTCCAATCAATCTGGACCACATAGTGATAGTCCATTTCCCATCTCCACACCTTTCAGTGAAGATTCCCCAAGCCCAGAATATACTCTCAGCTCCCCTCTGTCTCTTAGAATCTCTAGTTTTCTTTGAGACTTAGCTCATAAACCACCTTCTACTTGAGATCTCTCTTCATCTACCCAGATGCTAGTACCCCTTCCCCTCCACTACAATCACATTGTATGTATTTTTAATATATATATATATGTATATATACATTACATGTGTATATACACACATACATATTGTCTTCCTCTCCCTCCTTTTCCATATCCTAGTAAAATGAAAATTCCTTCAGGCCAGGACTGGTTCACTCTTGTGTTTTTGTCCCCAGCAGCCAACATAGTGCAGGGCACATAGTAAGCACTTAATAAATGCTTGTTGATTATTTGATACAAAAATTCTAGCACTGGTACCCTCTTTTCTGCCTCCACTTCGAATCACAGCTGCAAACAAGGCCACAGAAGATACTGAATATGTTCAAAGTAAATTCAATAGGACAGAAAGTGAAACAAAATATTTGAAACATCTCTCCCAATTTAAAATAATTTAAAGGAAACTTGTAACATCACTTGGATTGAAAATGCAAGTGAAGAAAAAATTTAAAAGGTGAGTCATACATTGTTGACTTAATTTCTTTCACTGTGTGCATCTTAACCAAAGATCAAGCTAGGGAGAAAAAGCCTGTCGGTCGATAGTCAAGACAGTCAGTTGACTACATAGTAATGAGAATATTTAAAGCAAATATGTCAGAATTTAAACATCTAAATAGTGTTCTTCTTCAAAGGCATCCCTTTGAGAAGAATGAAAAAACTTAAAACAAATATAACAGAATTTATATATCCAAATGGTGTTCTTTTTCAAAGGAGTCCCCCTTGGAAGGCTACTATTCAAATGGTTGACATTTCTTTAGCATTATTTGAAACTTCCTTTCAAATTGTTTCTTGATATAGTTCATGACTCATACGAGAAAATTCATATAATTTACAGCCGCACTTGATTTTATAAAAAATTCTCATTAAATTTTAATGCTTTTGTATTTATTATAAACACTGCCACTGGATTGGTATTTACTATTTTTCACAGAAAATAAATAGCATTTCAGTTGTATTATGGGTTAAACTTTTGTGGGGTAAAATGTGGGATTCAATACTGGGATCCTTTACCTCCATATCCATTTCTATATCATTTTTCATTTTTATAAACTGATTCCTTTTGTTGTTGTTGCTTTTTTTAAACTCAGAGTAATTTCACAACATATACCCTGGTACCCTGAACACTTTGTTTTAGCCTTTATAACAAAGAAAAACAATTACACAAAAAAATGACCAACAAATTAACTGTGTCTTCTGCAACACTCTGTAGCTGTTGTCCCCCATTTCTCTACTAAGAAGAGGGATGTCACACCTTGTCAGTCCCTCAAATTGTTATTACCAAAATTGATCACATACTCCATGCAACAGTTTTTTTGTTCCAAACAACTTTCTACTGTTTCTGAAAAATCATTTTCATCCCCAAAACATGAATATTTGCTACCACTGAGGATATTTAAAAGAATATGTCATGGGCTCTAAAAGCAACTCAAAAAAAGAAATTAAAAAATATTTAATCTGCTGGCTGTATTGTTGGAACAAGTGAATACTCATTTGGATGTATAAGTTCTGGTATCTATAAGAATTTTATTCAGTCACATTATTCATATGTTTCATGTCAATTCTCAAAACTGAGCTAAAGGTCTGTTAATACAGATAACATTTACTATAAATCTATTGCACATCAAATCAATCTCTGCAATAAATAACTCACTGTCTTGGATGAAAACTAGAAGTATGACAGGCAGTAGAGTCAGGCCAATTCTAGTTTTATAAAAAGTGACCCTTCAATTCTTCTCTTACTAAATTTGAAGAGTCCATCCCAGGATCTGCAGAATTCTTTCCAGGGTTTAGGGATAAATGGGCGAAGCCATTTGGGAATAGCTCCTGCATACATGGTGGTCTTAAACATACTAAACATCAACTCCAATGCTTCGATGTATTCCACAGTCAGCTGGGGAACATTGTTTTCCAGGCAGCCCAAACGACATTCATAAAGAATAGTAGCCACTCCTAGATGGGAAAAAGGCAAGAGTTTAAAAGCCCTCTTCTGAAATGATGACATTACCAAGGCTTACGTTGTAATAATAAAGCTAAATTTCAAAAGCTTAGGAGACTTGTCACTAGAAATTGACAAATCACAGCTTCATTTTCTTTTTTTAAAATTTATTTTATTCTGAACTAAAGACATAAAACAAGCATTTCCATAACAAAGTGGAATAGAAAAACAAGATTGCACCTAAAATTGCAGATCTACTATGTACAACTTGCTATTCCTTTCAAATATACATTATCATGTAACTTTCTTTCCCTTACCCCAAACTTCAAGATGGCTACCATCAGACACAAATCTGTATGTGCGTGTACACACACACACACACACACACACACACACACACACACACACACACACACACATGCATGCAACTTCTTTTTCTGGATGCAAACAGCATTTTCCTTCATAGGACCTTTGTGGTTAGTTTGGGTATTTATAATAGTCAGGATGACTTGGTTGCTCAAAGCGGTTCTTAAACTATTTTTTTTTTGTGAGGCAATCCTGGTTAAGTGACTTGCCCAGGATCACATAGCTAGTGTCAAGTGTCTGAGGCTTGATTTGAACTCAGGTCCTCCTGACTCCAAGACAAGAGCTCTATCCACTGTGCCACCTAGTGCCCCTCAAAACTGTTCTTAAAACAATATTGTTACTGTATACAATATTCTCTTGGTTCTGCTCATTTCACTCTTCATGACGGAGATCTCTCATTACTTTTATAAAATCATTGAGTTCATCATTTCTTATAGTAGACATATTCCATTATGAACGTTTACCAGAGTTTGTTGAGACATTCCCCAACTGATGGCATCCCTGCAATTTCCAGTTCTTTGCCACCACAAAGAGAGCTGCCATAAATATTTTAGAACATATAAGTTCTTCTGTTTCTGCCCCACTCCTTCCCAAAAGGCTATGATGAGCTGATTTGATTTTTTAAAATTATCTCTGACCCTCTACATTTAACAACTTGGGGGAGGGTGTGTGGGGACTTAGACTCACTGGATTGTTGAGGAAAGAACAAAAAGAGAGATAGAAACAGAGATAAAGATATGCAATAGCAATAAATACAGTTACACAGGTTATTACACAGCTATATTCATTAGTCTTAGGGTGGTTTCTTAAGCCAGTAAGGCTTTAAGTAGCTGTGAATCTGTTTCTTCAACTGTGAAAATAAAGAAACTGGGTTAGATCAGGTACTCTTAGCCATTTTTTTTTTTTGGTGGCATGTACCCCTTTGGCAGTCTGGTGAAACCTATGGGACCCTTTTGAGAATAATGTTTCTAAATACATAAAATAAAATACATAGGATTTCAAAGAAAACCAATTATATTGATTTAGTTAACAAAATATTCTTAAAAACTAAGTTCACAGACTTCAAGTTAAGAACCCCTGGTAGATGATCTCTAAGGTTCCTTCTAGCTTTAACATTCTATGAAACTCATTAAATCAGAAAGTTCTTATAGAATACGAGTGTCAATGCCAGACTATCTATATACATTTCTATATCCTTCAATGAATCACTTCAAACCAGATCCTGAGATGAAATACACATATGACATAATACTGCATTTCACCATATTTAAAGAAAAAATATTTTTCAAAAATTACATATCTATAATCTTATTATTATGTATGCTTCCTTCTTCAGTTTTGTAATTTCTTCTAGCCTAGAATTAAAAAATATAAAAACATCTACTTGTGTGCCCCTGCTTTCAATTTCCTAGATTTTATCCCTTTTTCTTAACACCCATTATGTTGCCTTTCCTTAAAACAAGGGGCATAATGATAGGTGCTGACCTTAGAGAATGCTTAAAGAAGTATCCCTAGAGCTAGCGTGAACAGCCCAAATCCCAGAAACAGCTAGGCAGGATTGGCTTTACAAGCAAATGAAACAGGTGGCTGTATATACTGTGTAAATGGAGGGACATCAGGAACCCTAATTCCTACCCCAAAATGTTTTCCCCATCATACTGTCACTGTTTGAAATTTTTACCTACAGAGAAAGATTCCTCTAGAACAAGGAAAAAAAAGAATCCTATTAAAATGGAAATAACCCTAGAGGGGATGGTATATATACATAAGGCCATAACAACTATTATTACAATTTTAGGGTGAACTAACTTAATAAATTACTTTCTTAAGTAATGTAATTGAAATTGCCTAGGTAGGAGAAGGGCAATGGGATGGGCTTGGAAAATAAAGGCACCACCTAGGAAAGACAGGCCTGGGAATATAAAGTCTCAGAAAGCAGAAATTGTTTTGTCTTTATTTCTGTATTCCCAGGGCCTGGCACAGTGCCTTACACATCATAGATAGATGCTTAATAAATGTTTGCTGAGTTGAACTAAACTGAAATGAACTAGAAAAGGCACCAATACAAGGGGACTCTGACATCATAAGATTAGAAGGTGCCTCATGTGAAGTGAAGGGGGCAAAGACAGAGAAATATTCCAGGTTAGGAGAACAGCACAGAAAAGATAGAATCCTAGAGCATGGGCCTAGAGGCAAAGAACCTGTTTTTGAGCAACTACTGCTACCTTACTTGCTGTGTAAACATGGATAAATCACTTCTTTTGAGCCTCAGTGATCTTTAAAGTCTTTTCCAGGGCTGACATTCCAAGAAATTCCCTGTCTGTAGGCCAAAAAAACTACTATCACAGATTTTGGTCTACAAAGAACCTTAAAAGTCGTCTAATCCAACACTCTCATCTATAAAGCCCGGACAATACTAGCACTTATCTCACAGGCCGTTAGGAAAATTAAATAAGACAATATAGGTAAAGTACTGTCTCTACAAACCTTAAAGTGCTGCATAAATGTTAGCCTTCATTATTAGGAGATTATAGCAGTTTGATGAAAGGCAGGATGACTTAATGAGGAAAGTCCTAGATTTAGAGTCAGGAAGTCCTGGATTTAGGTCCTGCCTCTGACATTTACTAGCTGTGTGACCATGGTCACGTCTCTTAACCTCTCTGAACCTCAGAGTACTCTCTTGAGACATTAGGTCATGGTTGGTTTACTCTTACATTCATTATTTCCCCAACTTCTGAAACTTGGAGAGTAGTCCACTCCAACCTCAAGCAATATTCACTTATCCACCTTAGCTAGTCACTCATCCAGATTTATTTAGCTATAATTCTTAGGTACTTATAACTGGTAGGTAAGATTTTGTCTTTATGCTTCTCCTAACTCATTACTCTTTAAAAAAAGATCTATCCTTTGGATAAATGATAATGAGAGAACCCTTTAAGAAAGACAAAACACTATGAGCTGAGAGTTCAGAGAAAGTTCTGGCTTTCTCACTAACTGTGTGAAATTGGACAAGTCATTTGACTTCTCTGAGACTTTTCTTTACATGTAAAATGAAGAGATTAGACTGTATCAGGTATCAGCAACCAACAAGCAATATAGACCCTTTTAGGTAGATAACCTGAAGCTACTTTACCAAAATAAAGAGTATGCTTTGTATGTATATTTCAATTCATCTTATTTTCTAAAGGAATAAGGAATCTCTAGTCTTGGAGGTTTTCATGCTTCTGCTCTCATGCCCCTGTTCTCACTACCCAAAGCACACAATTCTAAATGAGATGCCCCACATCAGCATTTCCTCCTCAGTTACTCTTCTGGTTCAACAATTCCCTTTCCTTTTCCCATCTCTCTTCCAGCCTGTCGTCATTGCCTGCTACTTGTTATATTATTGCTTCTTTTCACACTTTTCAGGCTCTCCAGCCATTTAAACATAAATACAATTCTCCTTGCATCACCATACCCCACAGGATTGTTGTAACTATATGTAAGGCAGACAGCGCAAATATAATTGCACTGATGTTCAAAGGAGAGAACCTTAGGGTGTTCCCTCCAGCTTATAGGCTGAACCTGTGCATTATAACAAAGGCTTTCTGAGGACAATAAATTAGTATTATTTGGTCTTTCTCTCAAAATAACCTGTATAAACTAAATAAAATAATCAAAATATGCAGTGTAGATGAAGTTGATACAATATCCCTCTGGAATCAACTGATATACACACATACATATAATATCCATATATATTTGTATATATCCATATATATATTTGGATAGATATATATATATATCTCCATATACATTTGTAGAGTTATGCTTTAAGACTATTACCCAAAGTTGCTTTTCTCCATTAAAAGGATGTTGACTTCTGGACTAAGATGATCTCTAAGGTCTTTTCCAGTTATATGACTATGGTTAGATTAATTAATGACACATATTAATGGAGAAACTGTGACTTTTCTAGCCTTATCCTACCAGCCTTGTTAGATGAACATTCTGGTGACTTTGCTGCTGATATAGATTTATCAGTACAGAATGAATCTTTCTATATTTCCTAATATCTATAAATCTACCAAAACAAAAATAACAGCCATGTGGAAAGACTCAAATGTACTATTGTTTGATCATTGCCAGAATTCTTTGGCAGACAATATTATTGTGCTCAGGTTCAACAAAATAGAAAACAACAAAGTCAAATTAGAAGAAATCCACACAACTCTCCTCCTAACACCATCAATCAGTAGCTTTAACAAACAGCATTTCTGAATAAAATGTAACAAAACTTATTTTTCCAATATTTAAGGTATTCTGACATAAGAAAGTTTTCCACACAACTGAAGCCTATCTCTTGAAGCAAAAAAAAAAAAAACCCAACACAAAAAAACCCACAAAAACAAAACAGAACAAAAAACCCCAACCCTTTATTTAAAAAAATGCTAACCATTGTTATGGAAATCTTTCCAAAATGTATTTACATACTTCTTTACCTCCTTAAAGAGAATATTCAACTTAATTTAAGTTTGATGATCATATAAGCTTGATAATATGCATGATTATGCATATTAATTATTGAACTTTGATGTTAGACTACCATATTTCACCACATAATCATTGCCACCACATAACTGTCGCACCCTATGGGGGTTGGGTTTTTTTTTTCATCCAAAAATAGGTTTATAACTTTTCATAGTGCATGGTATATTCTGTTATTTGGTATATGGTATATTGCATGGTATAATTCTGTTCCTCACATGTCTCATAAGGTAAACAGAGCAGGAATGTATTCACCAATGGCACATGAGTATACATTTATCTCTCAATCATTGCCAGCCCGGAGCCTAGAATTCTCAGCGCATGTGCATTGTCAGTATTCAATTTTAACATATTTTCGTGAATACTCTGTGCACCCTAATCTTGCGCCAAAGACAGCTTAGTAATAAATGATTTTTATGTAATACCAGCAGAATTTTTAAAAAGCTTCACATGATGGTTACACCCCACTTTTTTTACAAAAAATCTGGCATAAAATCTGCGATGATTATGCAGTGAAATACTGTATTAGAGCTGAAAGGGACTTTTAGAGATGGTCTAGTCTGCCTTCCTCATTTGATGACGAGGAAACTGAGACCCAAAAGGTGAAGTGACTTGCCTAAGGTTTTCAGACAGCTAACAAGTGGCAGAGCTGTGACTCAAACCCTGGTCTTCTGAGTTTTTTAACTCTAAAGACTTTCTATATACTGCATCATTAGCAGCTATTTAGGTGTGCAGATGAAATTAACCTTATACTAAATAGCCATGGGAGCGGCTAGGTGGAACAGCAGATGAAGCACCTAAAGCTTAGGAAGACCTGAATTCAAATCTAGCCGAGGGATCCTGGGCAAGTCACTTAACCCTGTTTGCCTCAGTTTCCTCATCTGCAAAATGAACTGGAGAAGGAAATGGAAAACCATTCCAGTATCTTTGCTAGGAAAACCCCAAATGGGTTCACAAAGAGTTGGACAGGACTGAAATGAATGAACAACAAAAAATAGCCTCAGACTGTTTTCTATAACTTTCAAATTCTTACAGCTGTTTTAAAAATAGTTTTTCTTTCTTTTCTTTCCCTCTCAGTCTGACTTTGTCACTTCAAGGTTTTGTCAGTTCCTTTACGTCTATCAGCCTCCTCCAGCTTCCTAATTTTCTGTAGCATGCGTGAAAGAACAGGCCATAAAAAAGTAGAGTTTGAGAAAACAACTATATACTTTCATAACACATTATTTGGTAACATCTGATTTATCTTATGGTAAGATCTCCTTTCCCCCTAAAAAAAAAAATAAACCAACAGATCCCTGGTTCTACAAAACAAACACATGAATCTCTGTGAAAGTTCACTCATCTTTCTTTCTTTTCCTGATCTTACATGCTGAATGCTCACCTTCCATTGAGTATTTGAAGAAAAGATTATTAACATTAGTCACAGTTTCTCCATCTGCTTCCTGGCTCTTGAGGATGTAAATTCTTTTAATCAAATCAGCAATAACTTGGTTGACTTCTCCAGAAAAAATAGCCACATCTTTGGGTTTCAAAATTTTTTGTCTCAATATGCTTCTCATCTTTAGCCACTGCTCGCCTTCCCTAAAGAAAAAAATTAATTTCTAGTCATATTATGTAAGTGTGTACAGGTGAGAAATTACAAGGAACTGTAAAAATTTCTCAATGACAGCAAAGTAATTGCTAGATTTGTCAATCATTCAGATAGGAAGACCAAACAATAAAAGAAATGAAATTTAAAGGAGGAGCTTGGGTTGTATATGAGGTAGCACTCTTTGACTTTGAATGCAAGAACATACTAGAATCAAAGATTGTGGAATCTTTGTTCTTGGAGATCACTAAAAAAAGAATAGATAATCATCTATATACTATTTGGTTTACTGCTGTTTACTACCTTTTGAGCCTATGGCTATTCAGAGCTTTATGTCTGAGCTTTAAAAATGTGAAGAAAAAGATCAGTTGCTATTATGAATTGTATTGATGCTGTCAATAAAAGTATTATTATGCCCTTCAAAAACCCTACAGTTATAATATAATGATACATAAAAGTGTTGCAAACATCAGTGAACAACATACTCAAACCTAAGTGATTAGATGTGAACATTTAAAAAAATTACTGCAGCCCTTTGTTAATGACACTGCTGAATTTTAGTACCAAATTATGGTCTGGTTGGCCAGCATTGGTTAAAAAATTTACCTGTCAATAGGATCAAATGATCATTAGCAGGCCCTTCCAGCTCTATTGTCTGTAAGTTTAAAAAATTATGATGGTTTTCATTGGTTATATGTGATTACCTAAAACTGCAATATGCTATTTGATAAATATCTCCTTTCTGTAGAAAGCAGGGACGACTGAGATCTGGCCAGAAGAGATCTTCCATATGAATTAATGCTATTTATCTACAGCAGTTAAGAGTGCACACAATTCACCCTCCTGAGCTGGTATTTTTAGCATCACTTTATTGCAGTTAAAACACTATACAAATAAGAAAAAAAAATAACTTAAGACTATTTTGAATAATGCCTATTTGCTATAGTTCTTAAAACAAGGATAAAATACAATAGAACAAATATATTTTACCCTCTACCCTTAAGGAACTTATACATTCTAACAGGAGAACAGTTATGATATACAATATGCATAATAAATCACTTTACAGATTTACAAAACAAAATGTTATATGAAGCTTGAGGGGGAAAGTGATTAGAAAGATAAATTTGCAGCATCTGAATTGAACTTTGAAGGATGGGTAGGAATTCAACAGATGAAGAGAGAGAAAGAATACACTCCAAGCATAAGGCACAATGGGAACTCTTAGATGCATAGAGAATGCAATGTATGTTTTGGGGAGGGTAGTGGCATTTTCTTGCCTTGTTTGGTAATAGAAAAGAGTGTATGAAGTTATGAGTTAAGATTGAAAAGGCAGAATTGTGCCAGGTTATAGAGGGTCTAGAATACCAGGCAAAGAAGTTTGAATGTAATTTTGTAGGCAGCAGGAAGCCACCTGTAAATTTCTGAGCAGAGGAATCTATGAACATGGAAGATTACTGTGAAAGAAATATGAAGAATAGATTAGAGGTGGAAAGACCTGTAGGGAGGCTGCTACAATATTATGGGTGGGTGGTAAAGAGGCCTACACTAGTTTGGCACTATCAATAAAGAAGAGAGCATGGACTTGAGAGATTTTGTGGAGATGAAATCAACAAGACCTTGTAACTGATTATACATATATGAGGTGAGGTGAGGGTGAGGGAAAAGTTAAAGGTTGCTAACATGTAGGACCAGATAAATAAATGGTTGCACCACAAACAGAACCCGAAATCTGTAGGGAAAATAACTTTAGGAGTTATGCTAGTGATCTCAGTTTGGAGCAGAGTTTAATGATGAAGACGTGGATCTGAAGCTCAGATCATAGAAGGGCTTGGAGCTGTAGCTACAGGTGATAATTAGATGCAGAGGTTGAAGCTATAAGAATAAATATGATTGCCAAGGGAAAGGCTGTAGGAGGAGAAAAGGACCAAGGATAGAGCCTTTTTTATTATAATAATTATCAATGACTACATAGGAATATCGAAAATTGCAGTGTACTATTTGAAGCTACATATGAACATCTTGGAGAAAAACCACATTAAGAGGCTGCAAAGAAAATGAGAAATCCATGAAGGAGCCAAAGGAGTGATTATAGAGTTAGAGAGCCAGAAGAATGTGGCATTGTTTGAAGCCAAGTGAAGAAAGACTACCTAGTAGGTCATAAGTATCAGTGTTGAAGAAAGGCTGAAGAGGGTCATTGGAATGAGCAAACTGGAGGTCAATGATAACCTTAGAAAGAATAGTTTCAATAAATTCATGGTGGGAAAAGCATGACTGAAATGGATGGATGAGAGAATAGATTGTCATAAGGTGAAGGCTTTGGGCATAAAACAGTAAATGGATGGACTGAAAAGATTCAAGGGAATGATTTTTTAGGATAAGGTAAACCTGAGCAGTTAGACAAAGTTCTGCATGGCATTCATTAATTACTGACACAGTTTAAACACATGTATGTACTTACGCAGAAATAAGCCCCGTAGACCTTCCTCGTAAGTCCCTATATTCTTGCCAGGACTCCATATTGGCTCTCTGCGGAGTGGTTCCCTCTGCTCGGAGAACCTGAGCCACCATGTCTCTGTCTGCAATAGATACTACAAATTGAGGACCAAAGTGAGACTTGAAGATTTTTCCATATTCCAATGTGTGTTTTTGCTGCAATACCATGGAGAAATCGGAGAAGAATAAAAAACACACATTAAGGAAAACATTCTACAAAGATACACTTTAACAAAAAAATTTTCCTGATTTTGCCAAAATATATGTCACAAATCAAAGTCTCTATCCTACAGAATAGTATAGTGAAAATAACACTAGATTTGGAATCAGAAAAATCATGATTCAGGTCTTGGTTCTGTTGCTTAAAAGTTCACATAAACTCTTTGAATCTTGATTCCCTTATCGATATCGTGAGGATGACACTTCTATCATTATCTACTTCAGGACTGTTCTAAGGAAACACTTTGTAAACAGTAAAATTCATGTAAATTAGTTATTATTAATATTACTGAAGTAAACCTATGATTTCATATGATAAAGATATTTTTCAATTCTTAAGATTTTTAATTCTGAAGAGATTTACTTGGTAAGGTGAAGCACTAGGAGAAATATATTATTGTGTATTTCAAGTAAAATGAAAGTGAACTTGTTAGAAGAGTAATAAAGTAGCTACCTATCTCTTGAACTTACTCATGAGCAATTTGAATAAAAGGGTCAAGGTGTTTCCCTAAAACTAACAGCTTTTTAAAGGTAGATTACTCAGGAATACACGTAACTAGAGCTTAAGTTGGATAAATTAAAGGTAGGTTAAAATTAAAGGTATTAATAGGTAGAAAAGGAGCTATACTAAAAAAAAAATGAATACTGTGTGTTGAACAGAATTTAGCAAGCAGATAATGAATTAAAACACTTTTCACTGTAATTGAAAAGTTATTCCAGATATGGTATACTTAATGCTGAGAACTGTCAGAGGAAAGAAAAGAAGATAAAGTACAAACCAATTTTATTTAACAAACTAAGCAAATTAACAAAATTAAGCATCATTACATTGAATATGAGGCAGCATAACCCTAGTGCAGGAGTTCTTAACGTTTTCCTTGGGTTTTTTGTGTGGTTTTTTTTGTGTTTTTTTTTACTTTTAGGCAATTGGGGTTAAGTGACTTGCCCAGGGTCACACAGCTAGTGTCAAGTGTTTGATCTGAGGCTGGATTTGAACCCAGGTCCTCCTGACTTCAGCACCGGTGCTCTATCCACCGCACCACCTAGCTGCCCCTTAACGTTTTCCTTGGCATGAACTCCTCCGGCAGTCTGGTGAAGACTCTTCTCACAATGATTTTTTTAAAATTAATTTATTTTGATTTATCAACAATCACTTCCATATGCTTTTGAGTTGAAAAGTTTTCTCCCCCTTCCTCCCCCCAACCCTCCCCAAGACAGTGCACAATCTGATATAGGCTTTACATTTACATACCCATTAAACACATTTTCACATTAGTGAAGTTGTAAGTAAAAATTAAAACCAATAGGAGGAACCATCAGAAAGATGAAACAAAACTCAACAGAAGGTAAAAATAAGTGATAGCGATTCAACTTCCATAGTTCTTTTTTTGGATGTGGACAGCATTTTCCATCCCGAGGCTTCTGGAGATGTCTTAGATCCTCATAATGCTGAGAAGGGTTCAGTTTAACAATCCTAGTCATTGCATAACGTGGCTGTTATTGCGTACAAAGTCCTCTTGGTTCTGCTCACTTCACTCAGCATCAGACCATATAAGTCTTCCCAGGTTTTTCTGAAGTCAGCCTGTTCATCATTTCTTATAGAACAATAGTACTCCATTACATTCATATACCACAACTTTCTCAGCCATTCCCCAATTGATGGGCATCCTCTCAATTTCCAATTCTTTGCCACCACAAAAAGAGCTGCTATGAATATTTTTGTACATGTTGGTCCTTTTCCCATTTGTGTGATCTCTTTGGGATATAGCCCTAGAATGCTATTGCTGGATCAAAGGGTTTGTGCATAGTTCCAAATTGTTCTCCAAAATGGTTGGATCATCACAACTCCACCAACAATGTATTAGTGTTCCAATTTTCCCACATCTTCTCCAACATTTATCATTTTCCTGTTTTGTCATGTTGGCCAATCTGATAGGTGTGATGTGGTACCTCAGAGTTGTTTTGATTTGCATTTCTCTAATCAATAACGATTTAGAGCATTTTTTCATATGACTATAGATGGCTTTAATTTCTTCATCTGAGAACTGTCTGTTCATATCCTTTGACCATTTATCAATTGGGGAATAGCTTGTGTTCTTATAAATTTGTCTTAATTCTCTATATAGTTTAGAAATGAGGCCTTTATCAGAGAGACTCGTAAAAATTCTTTCCTAATTTTCTACCTTTCTTCTAATCTTAGTTGCATTGGTTTTGTTTGTGCAAAAACTTTTCAATTTAATGTAATCAAAATTACCCATTTTGCATTTCATAATGTTCTCTATCTCCTGTTTGGTCATGAATTCTTCTGTTCTCCATAGATCTGATAGGTAAACTATTCCTTGTTCTCCCAGTTTACTTATGGTATCAGCCTTTATATCTAAGTCATGAACCCATTTTGACTTTATTTTGGTATATGGTCTCACAATGATTTTAAAAAATTCATTAACTGAAGGAAAAGATAAATTTTAGAGATTAGTGAAAGGAAAGATGATTTCTTTTCTCATTCTAGTTCACAGACCCCTAAAATTTATGATCCATGGACCCCATGGTCTAATGGAGAGAGGGCTAGCTTTTGAGTAAGGGAGAACTTGGTTTAAGTCTTGCTTCTGATATATATCTGCTGTGTAAGAATGGGCAAATCACTTTAACTTCTTAGTGCTGTAGGGTACTCTCTCAGCCTATAAATAACAGAATTACTGACCTGGATTGGCAGAGGGAAACTTCCATATTAGGATTTCCCACATCCAAGAAATCACAGTTACAGATCACCCCTAAAATTTCACAAAGCACTGTGATAGACATTGAGTGTGATTTAAAGTTGGAATAGTCTCTGCCCTAATTGGGCATTATTATCTAATAAGGGAGAGGTCATCTAAAATGAGCACTAATATAAAATCATTAAGTGCATAAAAGAGGTGTAAACAAAGTGCTATGTGAGGCTTGAGATCTGAGGACTTAAAGGGAATTACCAAGTAGAAGCAGCTGGGAAGGTTTCATGGTGGACGTAGCATTTGAGTTGAGCTTCAAAGGAAAGGGGAGGGAAAACATACCAGGCATAATAAGGAACAGCATCAACAAAAAAAGGCACCAAACCAAGGCAATCAAATAAATGAACAAACATTTTTTAATACCTACTATGTGCTAGACATTGAGAATACAAAGAAATAAATGAAACAGTTCCTGCTCTCAAGGAGTCTAAGTGCTTCTTGAGAAAACATATACACAAGTAAAAGAATGGGGAATATAATCCTCCCCACCCCTCTTGGCTCAGTTGATGTAGTCAAAGAAAGTAGTCACACAATATTAAATTTTAATATAATTTTAAAAGTAACACCTTGTTACTTTGTAACATCCCTTTATAAGGGTCTCTAAGTCAAGAAGGAAACAATGGGATGGTTGAACAAACAAATTAGCCACACTTTTGTGATCTTTAAAGGCTAAGCCCTAGACAAATTCCCTAGTATGGAGAATTCTAAGACAGTTCCCTTTGGATAAGATTCTTGCAAGAGAGAAGTGATTTCTCTCTTCTTTCTTTTCTCTTCCCTCTCCTTTCCTCACAGCTGGCCATAGTATTTAATAGCAAAGCAAGAGGCATTCAATCCAGCAGTTCTAGAATTCCCTGGTTCAAGAGAATTGAAAACACAACTGATAACTAAAAACACACACTCCAGATAGCTATAAATACAGAAAAGACATTCATTTGAAGGCGAAAGCAGCTTTGAGAATTAGGGACCATGGAAGCAGAGAAGAGAGCTGGCAATGATGGGAAGCAGACCCTGGAAACTGAGCTGACAGATCTTCCCAACAAAAGGGAGCTTCACAAGAACTCTACAAGGGGTCCATTGCATTGTTTGATTTCTGTCTTCCCAAGGATGCTGTGTGTATTTGTGGGTGAGTACACCCTGGCTGTATGTAGGGAATACTATGTAGCTATTATTTTGTAGTTATTATTATATCATCTTAGTTTCTTTGCTTTGAGTTAAATGATACTGGGTAACTATTGATGTGAAGCATAACTGTAGGAGTTCATGAACTACAGTATTAGAAGGAGCCACTTAAGAGTGCTGCCCCTAGAATCCCTCAGAAGAGCAAAGCTGAAAGTGCAATTGAAGGGAGTATGTTGAGGGAGTTGTTACACTGTGAGAGCTTCAACAAGGTTAGAATGGGTGCTGTACACATTTGAAGTATCCCACTGGAAAAAATTTCCACTGGTATACTCTCCTTCTTGGATGCCCCAGCAGAGATACAATGGGGAAATTAGCATCTTTCTTCCTCTTTTTTTAGATACCAGTTTTCCATTATGTGTTCTTTATAGATCAGACCATTTTCTTTTGAGATAAGTTTTGCTTGGTCAAATACTTATATTTTGATTTCTGTTCCAAGTACAAAAGCTAATATGAGCAGTCTAGAGTTTACATCCCTAAAATACCAGTGGCTTGCAATTATCTTAACACACACCAGTAGCAGCTCATATTCTTTTTTTTTCTTTTTCACTTTTAAGAATACTTGGATTGTTTGTATTATTGTGAATTGAGTCTAGACATCTTGTATGAGAGTCTTATGGACTTCGGGTTCAGAGGATAAAGTTTTCTTCATGTCTTATGAATCTCAAATGCTTAATCCCTTTTTGGGGAGGCCACTCATCTCTGGCATTTGCTAAGTATGTCCGATTTCTCTTTCTTTTTATGTTAGTCTGCTTATTAGTGAGGAGTGATTTTGGACTTCTGTTTAGACTGCCCAATGTATTGCAAGGGTTCACTGTGAAGTTCTGGGTGCCTTATAAATGGCAAGATCCCAGATGAATTTTTTTATCTGAACTTTCAAATGAATTGCTATACGTGTTTAAATGATCCCTACAGAAATTTCATGTACCCCATACATTTCAGGGACCCAGGGAAATTTCATCCAGGATAGTATGGTTTCTCATATCAAAAGTG